TGAGCGACTAAGCAACTAAGCGACTAAGCGACTAAGCGACTATATAGTTAAGCGACTAAGCGACTAAGCAACTGAGCAACTAAGCGACTAAGCGACTGAGCGACATATTAATAATAATACAAGATAATAATAATAATATTCTAAGATAATAATTAATAAATACTAAATAATAAAATAATAAACTAATAATTAATTCGTTCTATAACAATACGTTCGCAGACCTTCAGCCTGTAAACTTCTATTTTAACTAATCAAATCTTAGCAAAAGAACTTTACTAGAAGACGAGTTATATATCATATGAACAATTTTAATTAAAACACGTTATCTCTTACATAAAAATGCCATACTACGCATAATTAAATCATGATAATAAATGGATCATGGCAAAATAGACTAGTAACGGCATGATACAACACTAAAAGTGATAAAATAATCATAAAATTTCGAAGACAAACAGAAAAGAATGAACTGAACTGAAAGTAAAAAATACCAACCACCAATAATACAAAAATCCACAATGAAATCACACCACTAACGACTACCAGCACTGAAATCCTTGGCGAAATCACAACAACAATGACCAAAGACCTCAGCAAAATCACAACAATGACAACCAAAAGCCTCAATCATAAGATTTTGAAGACAAACAAAAAAGACGAATGGAACTGAAAGTAGCGAAATACAGAAATACCAACCACCAATATACCAAAATTTATGCCAAAATTATACTACTAACAACTACTGGCACTGAAATTCTTGGCAAAATCACAACAACAACAACCAAAAGCCTTGGCGAAATTACAAAAACGATAACCAAAAGCCTTAGCGAAATCATAGCTACCAATGTCGACCAAAGTTTACAACGATCAAATCTACGAACTCTCGACTCCCACAATGACTCCTACGACGACAGCTCCAATAATGATGATGCTAAAGAGTTATATACTATATATTCATAGGAAAAAAAAAAGAGATCAATTATTATTAATGATCATCGACTGCTTATACATATATCAGATAATCACGGGCTAATTGTTAACAAAATTAGCCAGGCTGATTTTAATAATATTTCTTTTTTTTTAAATATTGGAGGTTTTGAAATTTTTAATTTTGAAAACAAGTAAGTTTAAAAATTATTTATAGGCTAAAGTTCAGAATCAGAAAATTAAATAGGCTTAGTTAATAAAGTTAGCTTCTTTTGATAAATATGTATATTCATATATCAGGTGCAATTTAAAGTTATAAAGTAAAATTATTTAATATTATATTAGTATTTTTGATTGGTTGATTATAATTTTTTAATACATATTGTATTTTTTTTTTATGCATTATGCAATTAAAAAAATTATACATTTATCAATAAGAACCAAGTTGGTGGACAAAAATTATATGCAGTTAGACAGTAGACAGTATGCATTTAGACAGTGCCAACTGTATATGAAAATAATAAAAACTCTTTCTAATAATACAAAAAAATAGATTTACTATATTATACTGTATTAAAATTTTGCTAGTTTTTTCTAGTATATACTTTAAAACAAATAGTTTCATTTATTATAAAAACGCACCTATGCCTATTACAATATATGGTTTTTTTAAAAAAAAAAATTTTTATACCCAAATTTTTTCACACTGGGATTAGAAATTAGGGTTATATGAAAATTTTAAAGTACATGTAGTTTTTAGGATAATGTACACATAGGTGTAAATTACCAGACTTTAAATAATGTATTATTTCAATATTATTATGAGTTTATAGAAAACTTGTACCTAAAATTAAAATAATGAATAAATGCTCAAAAAATCTATATTATAGTATCAGTTAAAATTATAAACCAATATTACAACATACCCGCACTTAATACAGTGATAAAATATAGTTTGACCTTCATCAGCAGAGCGAAGTTGCATAGTATGATAGTTCATTTCTTCATTTCCACACTTTGGACATTTCTCTTTGATCTTTTTTTTGAATAAAATAAACGTGTAAAAATTACAATACAGACTAACTAAATGTATGTTTCGAATTATTGGGTTACAGACCGAAGCACTCTCTTCTTTATAATTATCAAGTTGTTGAACTTTTGAATGACGTGATCGAAGTTTCGAAGGAAATGTTTTTGGTTTGCTTTTTGTTGTTATCACGATATCTTCATATTCTGATTTATTAAGATCCCCCCAAGTTCGGATAATAAATTAAAAGAATGTTAGAAACAAAGAAAACTCAAGAAATCAAGACATTAAACACACCAGTAGCATTATGTCTACACGTACAAGCAGAACATGTAATAAAATCTTCGCCTGTGTTAAGAAGTAAAGTACCACAATCCTGACAAAATATTGTTCCCAAAGATTTCGATAGCCTGGAACTCATTTTACAACGATAGCGATAGGGCAGTCGAATCTTAAAAGATAATCTAATTGATTCAATCTATGGCTGAATTTTTTCTATTGGCTGATATCAAGTCATATGTAGTAGATTATCAAAAAATTTTTCTTACAAAATGTCTCTTATAACGCCAGCAACCATAGGTAGGAATGTAAATAAGAGCGACCTTTTAATTCCTATCATTAAATTTACTTTTCTTTGAACATTTAAAAAGTTAAAAAGGCTTTGACGAATTTCGGTAACATATGTCGACGACGAATACTTTACAGAACACAGGTAGTGTATGTACCAGTTTTCCAATTAATTAATTCGTTTACTTCAGTTTTGAAGTATTATCCACTATAATAATTACCATTCTTGTTGAATTTACACAGTAGCATTTTTCAAGAAAAGGCCTATTATCATCGATTATTTTCAATTCTGACAAAAAAAAAAATTGCAAAATTTTAGTACAGACTATTATCTACTCATACCCAACAACCGAAAAATATAAAGTCTGAAGAATCTTTGCGCAATCGTTATGTAGTGGGGGTAAAGAAATTTTAAAAATAAATTATTTTAATCATTATTAATTATATTATTATTTTATTAATAACTGTCACTTTGTAATTTTGAAAAGCCATTTACATGGAAAAGTTTGGCATTATTTTCAATGACAGGATCAGGATTATTCCTTTATTTTAAACATGAAAAAGCAAAATTAATAGAAAAACGTTTGTATTTAAATATAGACACATTCTGTGTTTTTGCCATTTTTCACTTCTGGTTAGCTCATTAAATATCGAATTTAAAGGCAAAGAAGAATTAGAAAGTAAATCTGCCGGAAAGCCTCAAGTTGGTGGCCCTTTTGAATTAATCGATCATAATGGTCGATTAGTTACGGATAAAGATTTTCTAGGTCAATTTTTATTAGTATATTTTGGATTTACTCATTGTCCTGATATTTGCCCCGAGGAATTAGATAAAGTGACAAAAGTTACAGAAGATATCAGTAAGTAATGGAATAATGGAATATTTGTTTTAAGGGAATTTAAAAAATTTCTAAATGTGTATGGATTAACAGATAGTGATCCAAAACTTGGAAAAATTATAACACCAATTTTCATATCATGTGATCCACAACGTGACACATACGAGGTTGTCAGAGAATACCTAAAGGGCAAGTATATATAAATATATAACTTTATTGTCATTATATTATGTAAGTTTTTTTTTTTTTTTTGTCTATGTCTAAGTCTTTTGTACATATTTCAGATTTTCACAAAGATATGGTGGGTCTCACTGGTACATATGAGCAAATAGCAAAAGTTGCAAAAAGTTATCGAGTTTATTTTAGTCGTCCACCAAAGGTAAAACCTGGTGACGAATATTTGGTAGATCATTCGATATTTTTTTATTTAATGGATCCGAATGGTCTGTTCGTTGACGCATATGGAAAAAGCACTACAGCTGATAGTGTCACAGATAGTGTTAAAGGACATATTAAAAATTTTATTGATAGGGGTGGCGTAATTAAGAAGCTGGAAGGTTAATCTTACAACCTATTATTATAAAGCATTTGTACACTTTTGATAAGCAATTGAAAGCATATAATGGCATATGGCATATTATACAGATAGAATTTTGCCCTTAATTATTACGTTACTCCTGTACTCTCATAATTAACTAATCACGTGCACTGTAATCAATGAAACTTTAGTTCACGTTTATTTCACGCGCATGTTGAAAAAACTTGTAAAAAACTTGATCATATATATGAAAAAAAGAGATTGGGGATACTATTTTAATACATATGTGAGTAAAGATCATAAATACTTCCCATTTTACTGTTTTTAGTGATGTGTGTTTAATCGTACGTAAGAAAAAATATATATATAACCTATTTTTTGAGTAATTGGCTGATATAATCTATGATAATCCTAGTAATATCATATTGCTGGATTTTTCGTCATATATTTCCACGATCTCCAATGAGTGCCCTTTCAAGACCGCTGGCCCTCGCGGGCTACTTTCAGCCTAGTCCCACCCTAGATCGTCTTGTAAAATTTTTTAACTCGGTGCCGAGTCTTGACAAAATTTTATCGGTATGTCTGCGTGTTAACTTTATGATGATCGAATTTCCACAAACTCAGAAAGATGTTTACCTCTTTTGTATATGTAGCTGGTACAATACTTTTCTAAAGTCTTGATATGGTTTCTTTTACGTGGCGGTAGGGCCTCTTTGGCTGAACGCATCAACAACCTAGAGATTCCAGTTACAGACCTTAGGGTTCTTCTACGGTGAGTTTTTTAACAGGCTTTCTTTACCCACAAAACAAGAAGTAGGATAGGTATTGCTCTTATTCGATCAATATGAAATATTTCCTTCAGGGAAATATAATATTAAGTTTAATTATAGATCTCCAAATATCACTAACCAAAATTCACTTTTAATAGGTTTTTCGGGCTTTTTCCTTTGATAAAATGGATGATTCAAATTGAACACGAGCATGGGCCGTCGACAAATAATCTCCTCCTTAATATTAAACGAATGCAGAACCTAACCATGCTGTTCTATTATCCGCTCGAGCATGCTTGGTGGTTGGTTCGTGGTCTCTTTTCATAAAGTCCTCAAGTTATTTCGTATCTAATATTACTAATTTATTATTACCAACTTTTTTATTCTTATAGGGTTTTCGAAAAATTATAACCTTGTCCCCCGAGCGGATAAATAAAATTGGTATGTGGAGTTGCAGATGGTGGGCAATTTACGTTTTACTCCAGTTTTGGCATCTTGCCGTCGAAAGGAGTTTACTAGTGCGACGCCGGAGAGAGTTACGTGTCGACGGGGACGACGTCGAGACTATATTGCGGGAAAAACGAGAGTTAAAATCTGAGGGTGATAGGATTTTTCGAGAGATTCTCATAAACGTCGGATATTTTCCGTTAACGGTAAATAATACTATATATAAATTATACGAAATTATGTTTTCTCGTATCTAATCTTTTATCATTTATTAGCTGCATTGGTCAATCGAGAATTCCCGATTTCCCGATGTCGGCGTAGGAATATTTGGTACTATTGCCTCGTTCTACGAGGTATCCAAAGCATGGAAAGATACAGAATAATCCTCCGTAATACTCCGGATATTAAAATAATTAAAAAAAAAAAAAAAAAAAAAAAAAAAAAAAAAAACATAAAAGTAAAAAAAAAAATAGTTTTACTAGATTAGGTTATCTTTTTTGAAATTTTTTATTTTTTTTAGAGGAAAGCATTT